ATCATGTCCTTAGAAAGTGATATGATGGTAGGCATTGCTTTGCTAACACTGTCACTGGCACAGACTTGGTATGTCTTAAAAGCATTTGGATTCTAAATGCTTTCTCTGTTTGAAATGTATGTGTTATGCAGAACTCTGAATGTGCTTTAAGGCTTTCGGATACCTGCCTGCATATTTATCTGTAATACGTGGCCATCTGAAACATGCAGTAATACTTTCATTAAGTTTTTAAAAATCTTACGTATCTGTTACAGTGTTTTGTCTTTGCTGCTTTTGCGCAGCAGGTAGGAAAGCCTTCTCATAGGACAGAAAATTGATTTTAACCTTACATCCACATGGTAAATAGTTCCTGTGTGTTGGTTGCAATATTTCATGCTCCTGGGATTTTGTATTTTACTAGTCAGATTTACAAAGTTTACCTTTTTCACCTCTTGCCTTCATCTCTGTGGCTGACTGTAAGATGCCTGGATAGAATCAGTCAGTGTTTGTCACCCATCACGGTAATCTAAACTCACAACTCGCATATGCCTAAGAAGCTGATGATATTCTCCTGCTTTGTTTTTTTTTTTTATATGGGTTTATAAAATGGGTAATGCGCATGGTTATAATGTATACTCTAGAGGGGTATGAATTATATATAAATACATATAGCGCTTTACATTAATAAGTGCAGTATACCTCTAAGACACAAAGCTCTGTGCCATTTCATAATTTGCTAACTTCTTACATAGAATTTTGGAATAAAGAATGTCTTGAGGGAAAATTAGTAGGTATGATTAATACATTTGTTGTACTATATATTAACTTGCTAATAAAGTCATTGTTAGATGTCTGTATGTTCACTTACTCTGTGTGTCATTTTCCAAGCTATATCCTTAGATGCTTTCATGTTTTATATTTATGAATATAGCTTTGTGATTCCTGGGTAAAAGGTGCTATTCACATTTAAAACCTGCTGTTTCAGTTCCCATGTTAATATGACCATTGACCAGGTCATTAAGGATCTAAGACAGCCAGGAACCATTCTTATTTATAGCCATATTAAAGGATGAGATAAATATATTTACAGGATTTTGTTAGAGTGTGTTTCTAATACTGTTCTCACTAACCTTTGTTAGTTTTTCTCTTAAATTGAAGCTGTTTTGCCCAATAGCTTTCTGTCCTAAGATAGTCAAAGTGAAGTTGCACGGGCAAATTCCATGCTCTTCTGTAGTCCACTTAATTTTCCTTTTATACTTTGCTGTTTAAATTTGTGCAGTATGAGGCTAGAATACACTCTCCTTACTTAAGTTTCAAAGAAAAACGTCACGCAATCCAAGTTTGCAGTAACTATGAAATTACCCTTATCAGAAAATTTAAATGTAAGAACCAACATTTCAAATGTAACGTAATATTGCCAAGTCTCAATCATTATATAGGTGATTATTGGTTTTAAAATCAAATGTCATTTTTGGTAAATTTGTTCCTTCACAATGAAAACTGCCCAAAGTACTCCATTCTGTGACTATTTGCATATTCTTACTGATTACATTTTGTATACTTTACTTCAACTGGCTTCCCTCCTAGGTCCCCACACTTCCCCCTTTTTAAAAAACGTGGTCTCGGTTGTGCTTTTAAGACAAGATTGCCTGAAATTTCTTGCTTTTGATGGGTGTTTTATTGTCACAGTCTTTGTTTTGCTCAAGGCATGGGTTTTTGTGTGCCAAGATTCATGGTCGCCTTCCTCGATTTTGACTAACCTTTCCGGTTTGTGGGTGAAACTTGGGTGCTATTAGGGTGACAAATTTTCACTGTGTTTCTCCTAAACTTGTCTTCCCCCAGGAGGCCATCGTTTCCTACACACTTCAACTTCCGCTTTACCTTCTGCTTTTCTTAGGTTTCTAATGTAAACAGTGTGTGTGACTGGACTGGTAGCTTTAAGGAGCTCGATTTGCATATTTCCCTCTCATTTCAGTACTTGTGCTAACTTGTTGCTTTTTAAAAATCTGCAACAAAATGTTTGATTTTTCTGTTTCCTACAAGTGTATTCTGAGAAATAATCCTTGTAACTTTTTTTTTTTTGCTTAATAATTAGCTGTCTTTCAGGGTGCTAGGGGGGTGCTATTGAAACCCATGCGAGAAATGATGCTTTTGTATTTTGTTCGAGATTGTACTATTCTTCGTCTTCATAGAAACCATATGTAATAGATTCTCTAAGTAAGGGGATTATCCTTACGTGATCATGACTGTTTACCAAATTCGGGGAATTTACCCTGGATTACAGCACAAGTATTTCTTGCCATAGCAGATGTAGCAACCCAAACTTTTCTGTCTTGCGCCCCGATTTTTTTTTAACAATGATGGCCATCTTAATAAGTCAGGATGTCTTTCTGGTGACCCAGTTTTAATTCGGACACTTACGGGCCACGTATTTTCTTCCTACAAAGCGGCGAGAAAGTTTTGAGCCCCCCTCGGACCTGTGTCCAAAGCTCTGAGTCCTCTCTCACGGTGTCTCCTGACAGTGAAGGGGCCACCCAGTTTGCGAACAGACTTAGGATGGAGCAACTCGGGACTAGTGGCCCTCGTGGCTCTGCAAATAATCCTGCGGTGGGGACACTTCCAGAAGTGTCTCCAACTTTCAGTGCCCTGTGCGCCCGTCTCCTGGGGTCCCGGGCATCTCCCCCACCCCTCGGGCCCCACCTGCCCCAGCTCCCCAAGTCCCCCCGGAGCCCGGCCGCGATGCTCCCCGGCGTACTCCTCCTTGCTGTGGCTTTTGCGGCGTGTGGGTGGTTCGTCCTCTGGCCGGCCCCCGCCCCGGGCCGCGCGCCCCGCACACCTGCCCGCCCGCGCGCGCTCTCCCGCCGGCCGGCCCCGGAGCATCCCTCCCCTCCCGCCGGCGCTCCCCTCGCGCGCGGCGCCCTGTTATTCCGGGTATTGTGTGTGTAATAAATGTCGGGCCGCCTCACTCTAATCAAGCTCATTACAAATTCCTGCGCGCCCGGGGCCGGAAATGGTGCGCTCCCCCCCCCCCCCGCCCGCCCGCTCGCTCGCTCACTCATTCACTAGTTACTTGTCTTCAGGCTTTTTTTTTTTTCCCCTTGCTCGCCGCCCCCGCCCCCTCCCCCAGTCCCGGCCCTCCAGCCCGGGTTTTAATCCCCATCCCTTTTCCGCCTTCTCCGTGCACCCTGCCCCCGCCGCCTTCCTCCTCCTCCCCCCCTCCGCCCGCCGCCGCTCGTCGCTCGCTCCCGCTCTCCGGACGCGGCGGAGGAGCCGGCCCCGCTGGGGAAGGCTGCGGGCGGCCGGGAGGAGGCTGCGTGCTCGGGGCTGGGGCAGCGAGCGGGTGCCGTGTATTAAAATGAGGAGGAGGAAGAGGAGGCAGCCAGAGCGGCGGCGGCGGCGGCGGCGAGCGGCGGCGGCGTGGAGGGCTGCAGCCCGGGCGGACGCGCGGGGCCGAGCTGGGCACGGCGGCGGCGGCGGCGGCGGCGGCGGCCGGGATGAGTCACTCCTGATCGTTTCATGGGGGCAGAGACGGCGGCGAGGGGGAGAGCGAAGGAGCGAGCGAGCGCGAGCGAGGAGCGGCCCCGTCCGGGGGCTCGACTCACACGCACACAAACACGCGCGCACGCCTCCCCTGGGCCGCCCGGCGAGCCGCGGCCTCGCCACCTCGGCGGCCGCCCTCGGACCCGGAGCCGGCCGGGCGACCCCGGAGCCGCCCCCCGCGCAGCCCGGAGCAGCTCGGGAAACTCCTCCTCAGTTTTGTTGCGGCTCCCGGGCTGCTTCTCCACCCCCCCCCCTCACCTCACCCCCTTCTCCTCCACCCCCACCCCCCCAAGTCCTAGTCCATTGTGGTGCTCGTTGTTTACCTCAGACTCTGGCTGAGTGAGAGCTCGGAGACTTTCGGGGAGGGGGCGGGGAGTTGGTGGCTGCCGAGACGGTGAGGTGGTCGGGGGGTGCCTTCAGAGCCCCCCTCCCCGCGCTCTTCCCCCCCTCCTCTCTCTCTCTCCCCCCCCTCCGTCGCTCACTCCGGGCTCCCCTGACGCTCCAGCCTCCCCCTCACCCCACTCTCCCCCGGTGTCCATGGGCAGGGACAGCGGGGTCCTCGGGGCTGTGGTCGGTGAGGGCTGAAGCCAAAGTGGCCTTGTGGTGCCTTCGGGGAGGGGGCTGCGCTTGCGACCCCTCTGGCCACCCCCACCCCCACCGCCGCCGTCCCCTGGTGGCTGCCCCGGGCCGGGGAGGGTGCGAGGCTGTGGGGAAAAGTTTGGCATTTGTTCCTCTCAGTCGCAGTTGCTGGGGGCGGGGGGCCAGGGGCCTCCCTCCGCGTCCCCGGGGCCGGGGAGGACGACGCTGCTAGTGACAGCCCCGAGTGGCCCTGGGCTCCCGCCGGCCGCCCTAGCGCGCAGGAGGGAGGCGCACGGACGCCCGGGGACCTCGCGGGGAGCCCTTCTCCGCAGTCATCCCCCCCCACCCTGGTTTTTCAAGAGAATCCTGTCACCACCTCGCCTCCCCAGTACCACCGTGCCGTGTTCGGCTCCAAACGGATTTTGCTTTGTTTTTTACGATTTCCCCCCAACGAATCACTTGTCAGATCAATTTTATCTTCTCCCTCCTCCCTCTTTCCCACTTTCCCCTCCTCCCTTTCGGAAACCCCATTCTCTGAGGTTAGACATTGTACAAACCATATATGTTGTTTTTCGAATTGTGATTTTTCTTTTTAGCCGCCCCCCTCCTCCCATGGCTACTCCTCTGGACGTTTTTTTCTGCCCTTCCCCCGCTTAGGGGGGCGGGGGTAGGGGAAGAGAAAATAATACAATTTCAGGGGAAGTCGCCTTCAGGTCTGCTGCTGGTTTTTTTTTTTTAATTTTTTTTTTTTTGTAATAAAAAAAAAAGGACATAGAAAACATCAGTCTTGAACTTCTCTTCAAGAAACCAGGCTGCAAAGGAAATCTCCTTTGTTTTTGTTATTTATATGCTGTCAAGTTTTGAAGTGGTGAGTTTCAGGTCGGTTTTGCTAATTTCACTCAGTAAAACTGCAGTGTTTCTGTTTCTAGATAGTACTTTGCTTCTTTGTCTCTTTAAAAGGCCACAGTGAAAGCTTGGCCTGGATCGTGCCGGCCCTATGGAATGGATAAGGGCATAATCTCTTCAAATGTGATCCTGGGGTTCTGTGGGGGCAAGGGAGGTGATCCGGTCAGGATGTGATGGAAGACATTGCAAAAGAAAAAGATTCTTAGAAGCAGAACCCTGGATTTGTCGTCCTTTTCAAAGGGAAATAATTGCTGTAGTTGAGTTCACTGTTTCAGATTTGGTGTTAGTTCATGCACAGGGACATGGGATTTGGAGAAAGTAGTTTGGTTTCTGTGTGCCAACTAGCCGTGACAATAAAAGGGGCCTGAAAATGCCTAACTCAAGAGAAAGTCTTGAGCCTGGCATCTGTTGAGACTGAAGTTTTTAGTCCCGCAGCTGACAGTGGAGCCAGGCCTGCTGGAGGTTGTTCTTTTCCATTCTAAACTGAGGTCTGGTGAACTTTAGCCTTGGGCATAGAGTTTAAAGGAGTAAATTGGGTGTTTTATGTGCATATAATTTTGCTTTATAATATAAGGCTTTTTACAGGATGGCAACGTTTAATAGACACTTATATGTGGGTATTCAGAAGATAGTTTTTGCATGACCTATATGATGTTTTCATTGTCAATACATTAACTAAATTATAATTTGTCACTTTCATTTGCTGTAAGTTTAAAGTGCTGTTAAGCCTCATGATTACTTAATATGTTTTGCGGCATTAACTTTTGATACTGTTGTCTACCCCCCTTTTTTTCCCTTCTTAGATTGCCCCAGGGTTCAAAGATTTTCTTTTTAAATACTATTTTGAAATTTGCCTTTTGCTGTAGGGTAAGGCAGTTTCAGGAAAGGCAGGTCCACATTATTATCCACATGAAACATTAAAATCAAGAGTTTTTAAAGTGAATAAATATCGTTAACTCTGGTTTTAGACTGCAGCTTAATATAATGGAGAAGAGTAATCTTGATAGAAAAAAAAGTGGTTGAAAACTGCACATTTATTGTTAATGAACCTAATAACCAAAAACAGATGGGGCCTCGATCAACGGTAAACCTTAGTCCTCAGCCTGCCACCCTGGAGTACAAAGATAAATAGCCTTTATTATTTTTCAAACTTTATATTTTTACAGTTGTCCTTCTTAAGGTTGCTTTTAAACCCCTAGATTATCAGTTATTCCCCCCCCCCATATGCAGAATGGAGCAGCAGTCTAATTACACAGAAGAATAAAATGCTTATAGAAAAGCCATACTTTCAACAATCACTACAGACTGGCTTTCCAATCCAGGTTGAGTGATTTAATATAGTGCATTTTTGGAAAAATACGGTGTTTGTCAAATTAGTAGACACTGGCATAAGTTTTCAGTTATCTTGGTCTGTATCTCTCCAACTATGATCCCCTTCGTTGCTGGTAGCCACAATCCTTTCACGTATTCTGCAAGTTCATGAAATAATTCCACTCACCTGTTCTTATCAGTTCTAGTTAAAGTTATATTTTGAAAGTAACTGATAATGCACTTATTTATTATAAATAGTATGACAGTGATGTCTAATATATAACTGAAGATGATTATATTTTCTAAGTTAATTATGATGTTAATTCCATTCCATATTGAGATTACGTTTGACTGTTGGACCTTGCGTTTTATCAATATCATCAAGATTTTTTAAAGTGAGCCTGGCATGTGAATATAGTGTGTAAATCAGCTTTTTGCTGCTTAAACCATTCTCCATTAAGAGCGTTCACAGACTAATTCTGAAACAGGAGTTTGAATGGTTTGGTATGGAATGTTTGAAGAGCCCCTCGAGTTTTCTTGTTTGCTTAGGGGTGAAGTGGTCCTGTCACCTGTTTGACACAAAACTGGACGGGGTATTTGACAGGTCATGTAACTCTTGAAACCTTGATTGTAGAAAACTTTCTCTACCCATTAGTTTCTAACCCCAGTGTGGAGTGTAAATAGCCATCTGCTTCTAAAATGTATTATTTTCCTTTCATGGAACAAAAATATATGTAAAGTATAAAAACTTATTTAACTGATATTTTAGTCTGTCACCATTGCATCATTTTAAAATGCTGCTGTTGATTCTGTAATGAGTTTCTAATTTTTAAAAGTTACAAAGACATAAACAATTTGCTGTTTTCTTTTTGGCTACATATTGTAAAAGAAAACCCATTTTCCCCCCATTTAGTTTTGCTTGTAGATGACAGATCACCTTTTTATTCATGTGTGTTGATACAGTTTCCGCAGATTATTCTGTTAATTTGAATGGAAATGTAATGCTGTTATCTAGACATACAGAAATGTCTGTATTATGTTATATCTAGGTAAGCAGTTCTCCAAATGTGTTTGTGGAGAGAAATGTTTAGCAGTAACCTTTAACATGGGGCACATACAGATATAGACCCCCCCCCAACTCAATTATAACATATCTTCTTTTTTTAAATTCTGGCAGGTGATCTTTAGACAGTGACTGAGTATGGATCATTTGAACGAGGCAACTCAGGGGAAAGAACATTCAGAAATGTCTAACAATGTGACTGATCCGAAGGGCCCACCAGCCAAGATTGCCCGCCTGGAGCAGAACGGGAGCCCGCTAGGAAGAGGAAGGCTTGGGAGTACAGGTGCAAAAATGCAGGGAGTGCCTTTGAAACACTCGGGCCATCTGATGAAAACCAACCTCAGAAAAGGTAAATCCTGGAGAGCCACGAGCTCTGGTGTGTACCCAAGTCCACCTTGTGTGGGGGTGGGGTGCCTGAACATGTCTGGTCTCCTTTCTTTGATTCTCTTTCTGATATGAAATAGCTGCATTCTGAATAGTAATGTCAGTCTGGTTTGAAGGTGTTGGCTCTGTGGCTTGGGTGGATTATCTTACCTGGCTATGGAATCATGGGACATTTAGGTGGTCAAGACTGAGTTGGCTTACTGTGGTCTTAGTTTGCACGAGGGACATTCCGGAAGGCCATTGTAGCCGAGGGTGTGTAGGTGGCTGTTGCTTCACTGACTCTGATCAAGAAGAGGAGATTTAGCTGGTTGGACAGCCACCCTAGCGTTTTCATAAGATTGTCAGTTGGTTAGGCAGTTTCAGAGAGCATAGAAATCTTAGGTAAAACAATGTGAAAGTTTTATGCTATCATTTTTTGTGATTTATTAAAAGCAAGCATGTTATTGAGTAGTGAAAAACCTGACTCCTCGATTTTAATTGTTGCTAACATGAGTTTATTTTTGATAAGGACACAGTCGGGTAGGTGTGTAAGAGGAGGATATGTAATAGTGTTGACTCTTTTCTACTGGTGTTGAAGTGCTCAAGTTCAGCAGCTCGGGCTGTGTCTGACTCTGCTGTTACTGCAACGCTGTGCCTGTGCTGGTATAATGTATGTGCGTCACAAGTGTCTTTATTTTATGTCTGAATAGGATGCCCAAGAATCAGATTTTCCGTATATTTACTAGGCAAAGTATAAAAATGCCTTCTTTTAGCAACCAAGAATATTAAGTAGGTAAAGTTAGAAGGCAGAGGAATTTCATTGTGTTTGATGCATAGCATTTATCATACAATCATTTATTTTTTCCTTGGTTTGGCGAAAACAAAGAATATATTGATCCTGAAATGAACAGACACAGCAGTCCGTATTGTTAGATCTTTATCTATTAAAAATGGAAAAACAGCACTTCAGCAAATTCTTTGGCCTCTACTTGTGATTACCCTATTTATTGATTGTTTGCCAAGAATGTATGCATCTTAAGAAAGCCAGGGTAAGAGCATTAAAAATATAATTTATTACAGCTTTTCAAACAGAGTGCATTAATATTGTACTGTGAAGCAGTGGGGCTGTATAAAAAAGACTTTCTGACGCCTGCAAACATATAAGTTCCATAAATTCCTAAATAGGAGATTTCAGCTGTCTCTGGTATTATGTGATATTTGCACAGCAAACTTTAATGCCAGGACAGTTTTAGACAAGGATTCTACAGACTTCACTGCTCCTTACAGCAGACGTGCTGTTTACACAGGCTCATAAACCTTCAGCAAAAGCTTCTCAGACTGCCTTCAGGTTTAAATCATGTGGTATTTTTAGCCTTGAGCAGTGACCAGTGCTCTCCCCTTTGGATGCAGGGAGGTTCTGAAGTTGCTGCAGTTGGAAGTCTTGCAAACACTACAGGAAGAATCGGTTCAGAGAAGGCTGCTCTGCAGCATTACTCCCCATTAATAGGAGGATCACCAAGACAGTTCGCTACCAGATTCAGCAGCTAGATTTGTATGTGGGTGAGCCTGCTGCTACTTTGTTTATAACCACGGTTCTTCTACCTGGAACACCTCAGAATTGGCTCCCTGAAGTCTGAAGTGTGAATGCAGTGTTTTCTGGTCATTTAGAAAGCCTACAGCATGCGGTGGGTCTGCGGAGCAGTTTGCAGGTGTGAGAAGTGGCATCAAGCACTGCACATGTTTCATCCTCTAGGAGGGAAAACGCATGTTTTTGTTGTACTAACACAACTCTTTGAAGACCTGAGGACAGGAGGAGAAACCAAAGCATAGTAATTTCACTTCCGTTTTTCTTTTTTTTTTTTAATAACATTGCATTCATAATGTCATTTTAAAAATGTGGTTTAAATGGAGAAGGATCTCTGTTTACTCCAGACAACAAATTACTGAAGCCTTTTGGTGGATTTTTTTTTCATCTTTTTTTTTTTCCATGTGCATAGTTTCTGTTTGACAGGTGCTAGATAAAAATTGTGGCTGAGATGAGAAAGCACGCCTAAGAAAAAAGGGGCTGAATATTTTTGTTTGTTTAGGAGATTTTGCCAAAATACCTTCAAGCCAAGGAAGAAATCACCAGTTTGCATATTGCTATTTTTGCTGTGGTCTCCCCAAGTCCTCCTCAGATCCCTGACGGCTTCTCTCTGGTATAAAACAGCTGAATGAATGACAAGAATATTGGCAAGCTCAGCAGCTTGCTTTTCATGCCTCGCCTATTGGTGCTTCCGAATGAGTTTATGCGCTTCTCCAAGTAAACCTGAAGGGGTTTATTTGTCAGGGCTAGGATCCCCTGTGAACAGTTCGCTAAAGCTTTGGTGAAGACGCACATGTAGAAAATGTAGCTCTTTTCCTGCCAGCTTTTGTTCAGCAGCAACAAGCAAATAGAGACTTTTTAAAGGGCCTCTCTGGTGTCAGTAGGAAATCCTAAATTTTAGTCATGGTTACGATTGCACCAGGCATCTTCGGCACTTGGTAGAATTCAGTAAGTCCGGAGAAAGGAGCATCCAGAGGCAATAATGATGTAGGACTAATTGGGGATCCTCGGTGCCCTGTTAAAGTAACCCTTGTCATCATTTATGCTGAAGATGATACCCTCTTGGCATTTTGCCATGGCAGAGTTCAGATGCATTTGCTTTTAACCCTTCTCTGTTGTCATTGGAAGTCTGGCAGTATAGTATATAAACACCTAGAGAATCGCAACATTTCATTCAGTTTCTAGAAGCAGCTTCTCTCTGATAGTAGTGGGTCCTGTGCTTCTTGGTCGTCAGACTTGTGGGTTTTTGTATTGGGTTAAAGGAAAGAGACTGTGTGAAATGTGTGTAGGTTCTGTTATCCCAGGTTATCTTGGTGAGGTCACTTTCCTGTTCGCTTGCTCTCTCTCTCTTTTTTATCATATTTACCGTAACAAAGATTGTTTATTCTAAAGACTTGCGGTTACCGTGTTATCTTTTTAATCAGGTTGATTAAATGAGTAGTCATAAAAAGAAATGTTATTTATTATGCACATATTGAAATGGTGTGTATTATGTAGCTTCGGTTTTGTGTTTCTTTTATGGAACCAGTTAGGATAAATGTCTCAAACAGGGAGAAAAATCATGGTTTTGCAGTTAAAGATCATTTGTTTGGACACAAACAGGGAGTTCATTATTACCAGAAGCCTGTGGGCGGCTGGAAGGTGGGCTTTCTGAAGACAGCTGCAGTGTTCCGTTCCAGGGCTGTGTTCTCCTCACGGCAGAGCAGAGGACACGTGCTGATGGTCAGCATTCTGAGCTGATCGAAAAGCTAACTCTACCTTCATTGCTTTCGCAAGATGCACCATTCAGAATGCAACAAGAGCCCAGATTACCTTAGGACCAAGTTCACATTCTGTGTATTTCTCTAAAAACTTTAGAAAACAAAAGAAGATGTATTTGTGTGTGTGGTGTGTGTGTGCACACCTGTGTTTCTGGACTCAGTCTGCCGCGGAAGCAGTCCTCCATTCTCTCACTGATGTATGGATTTATTTTCGTGATTGAGTTTTCCCTCCCCCACGCCTGTGTTTCTGAAGATTGTTGGTTTTCTGTCTTTTTCCCGTCCCTCGATAGGAACCATGCTTCCAGTTTTCTGTGTAGTGGAACATTATGAAAACGCCATTGAATATGATTGCAAGGAGGAGCATGCGGAATTTGTGTTGGTGAGAAAGGACATGCTTTTCAACCAGCTGATAGAAATGGCATTGCTGTCTCTAGGTTACTCTCATAGCTCTGCTGCCCAGGCCAAAGGTAAATAAGGCGTGTGTGGGGTTGGAAAAATTGCTTGGCATCCTTTGTTTACCTCGTGGAGAAAGCACTGACTATTTCTGTTCAAAGAACTGTGTTACATTGGTTCCTTATAGACTGTGGCTTTAAAAAATTGACTTAATTCAGTTTGGTTTAGTTAACACACATTTTGCTCATGTGGAATGTCGAGGTAGATTTTTTTTTTAAATTACTTCAGCTGAATCATTAGTATGCTTATTGACCTTAATAATCTGCTCCACTGAGGACCCACAAGGAAGTGAGGAGCGTATTTGAGCAGATGGACTGTTGAGAGTCAATTTGCATTTATGACTGAATATCTAGTTCTGTTTCTTTTATTCTGTTTCTGATGGTTTTATGGGCTGTAAAGTATTTTTCAATGCTGATTCCCACTGCAGTAGAGAATCTTATCTAAATCGTAAAGCCATTTAGAACTGGTTCAGCTATGTCTTATTAGAACTTCCTGTAAGTTAGGAAAATGTGGCCTTATGCAGAGATTTTATTGATGGGGTTTTATTTCCAAAATAATAAACAACCCTACAGTCATTTACATAATTTCACAATTTGGAAAGCTAAGCTGCGAATATTTTCATTGACCTGCCTTTTAGAGGGAAGGGAATCATTCAAACAGAAATAACAATATTGTTTGTGGAGGGGGTAAGGAGGAAAAATCTCCTAGGTGTATTATCGGAGGGGTGAAGGACTTAGTCACATATTCCGTTTATCTGTGCTAGGGCTCATCCAGGTTGGAAAGTGGAATCCGGTTCCACTGTCTTATGTGACAGACGCCCCTGATGCTACGGTGGCAGACATGCTCCAAGATGTGTATCATGTGGTCACGTTGAAAATTCAGTTACACAGGTGAGTCAAGATAGCAGGGCCAGGGAGCACGCTGCTTAGCTTGTGTTTTGAAACCTTCAGTGTTTCTTCAGAACAATTAACCCGAATCGATTTTGCTACCCTATCCCTTCTGCTTTTTTCCCTGACTTCAGTGTATAATTCAAAAGCAGCTCCACCCCCCCTCCTCAATTCTGTGGCTTTGCGCAGGTCATCAGAAGATGTTACGTTTAGTTGATTATGTGATGCTCTGAAAGAAGGCATTTTACATAAAGTTTACTTAAGAAAAAAATATTTTTGCATATCGTGAACAGTGCCATCTGTGTACATTTGTGAAAGATGCCTTTCTTGCTATTACTGCAATCTTATTTGGTTATATATACATATATTTTTTACCATCTTCGTTCATATGAACAGAGTAATGAGAGGAAATCAGTTAATAAGTTAATGTTTTTCACGGTGGCTCATGAGAAAGCAGTACACCTTAAATTGTCTTCCCGAGCGCATCAGAGCAGGAAGGTAGAAGTAACATGGAAAAATAGCCACCACAGGCAGCTGATGTATAATTCATGCATCGATACAGCAGATGTGTTGTATAAAGTAATTAACTAATCGGAACAATCAGGAGACCGAGAGCAATCTCCAGATGCATCTGTTTGATGCGCAAAATGAAATCTGTCTGTCTTAAAGGAATGTTCTGCAGCGGGATGCAATCTTGTAATAATCCCCTTTCTAATCTATGTCTCAAATAGTTGCCCCAAACTAGAAGACTTGCCTCCTGAACAATGGTCGCACACCACAGTAAGGAATGCTCTGAAGGACTTACTGAAAGATATGAATCAGAGTTCGTTGGCCAAGGAGTGTCCCCTTTCACAGGTACTTAGCATAGCATGTAAGAAATACGAAGACATCCTGGGCAGCCCCTTTCTGAGATCTGATTGGGCTTCAAAGCAACTGGTATCTGAAGCAAGAATCTGCAAAATGCAGAGTGGCTTGACCACTGGTGACCTTTTCAAATATGCCTGATTCATTCTGAACTGAGCCTTTGCACTTTTTCTCCCTTGGGGAAAAGAACGAATGACTATTTACAGGAAAAACAGACTAGCAGAGGGCTGTTGTGCTTGCTTTTTAGATTGGCCTTCAGCATGCTCTGAGCACGCTGTTGCATCTCCTGTGTGCCCTGTTGGGCAAAGTGTCTGGGGACCCAGCGTCCACAGAGCTCTGTTGAGTGGCAGTGGCAGTGTTAGAGTTAATGCACGAAACTTCAGCCTGTTCCCTGAGTAAGAGAACAGTATAGTTCTTGGATGCTTTGCTCAGACTGAAAAATCAAAAAGAAAACATTCAGTAAAAATAACTATAAAAGTAAGAACAGAAATCTTTCCTGCATACCTGACAGCTGAACAGTGGTTAGGATTTTGTAACCAGTTTTGTGGGATTACTTTGCTGCTGGTTTTTTTTTTTGTTCCTAAGATCTTTCTTTCTCTTCTGAGAGATGCTTGTTTAAACCACTGAAATGAAAGATAGATTCATTATTACTGCATTTAAACTTTTACAATGAACACCGAAAGAGGACAACTAAAACTCTAGAGACTGTCTTTCTCCAGAGATTTAATACAAAATGTCATTTTTGGGTAGTACCTAGTTGATTTCAAATAAGAAAGGAAAAGGAATGTTGTGAACCTGCTGTTACTGGGCTGCCCCTGTGGTCACTACATGAATGTGTTGTAACACTGTCTCAGTACCAGCCCCATGTTAGGGTTGTTCATGGCACAGTATCATTTAAGTGCTGCTCTAACTAGATTTTCGCTAAGCTTTTCAGGTTTTCTTTTATTGCATGTTTACAATGTTAAGTCTGGTTGTTAGTCTGCTGGTTGTTTGAACTTGAACTGTAGAACTCTGTTGTATGCCTGTGTGCAGTCGAGAGATTCTTAAAGTGTTAGTTCTACTGTTTTCTGAGTGGCCCACGTTTTATAGTACAGAGCAAACTTTTTGTCAATTCAGTTATACCTTCAGCTAATCTCTCTTACCTCTCATCCTTGGAATTGAGATGATATAAGTGCATAATCTTTGGATAAAAGTTATTTAAAATAATTAACCAGTGCAGTGAATAGGATGACATCATAAAGCAGGGTGATCCTTGTGCTGGGCTTTTATATTTGTACACAATTCCAGATCATATATCATTTGATCAGTAGCATTTGAAGGTTTGAAATAATCTTAAAGTTGTCATAGAAAATGAATTGAATACAGACTGTTAAAAGATTAAATAGAATGAAGGAATGAAATGCAGGACTTGGTTTTGTAGTCATACATTGAAGAATTTCTATAGTAAGGTCTGGTTTGACTGGATATCCCACTGTAGTTGCTAGCTAATGATGGACTATAATATCACCTTCAGTTATAATCTCTATTTTTAAAAAATACTTCTGCAAAAATTTTTTGGATAGCCTAGCAGTGGTAGCAAATATTTGAAAATCAATTTAGTTTTGATATTTTGAAAAATTTAACTGGTTCTCTACGTTTTATATTTGGCTATGCCATCATTTCTCTAGCATGAATCCATAAGTCTGATACTGAACTCAAAATGCTTTGATTATAAATTACTTTTCCCTTTATTTTTTTCTCGTTAAAGTTATTAAAACGAAGAGATATACTCTCCCTAAGTTAGGCCTTTGTCCACAATGCATGCTCTGTGAAAGCTTTCCTTTTCCGGTGAAGTTTTCCTTTGTTTCTGTAAGAACTTTAGCCTGCAGTTTGATAGACACATTTTTCTGTACATGAAGGGTTTTTGGTGCTTTATAATATATTCAAGTTTCAGGTGTGGCCCCTGTCCTTGTCTATCCTGCGGGCAAGCACATCTCTGTGTAGCTTAGAGATTAGCAAGAAACGGGAAGCCACCAGGAATTTGCCAGAGATGTTTGATAATGCCTACTCCTAGGGTTGTCTAACACTAATCAAATGTACGCTTAGACTTGGCTTTTAGAAGGGATTCTTCCCAGTTTCCTCCTTTGACAGAAAAGGAACCCGTGTCTTAGAGATTAAATTCAAGGTTAATGACTGATCCAAAAGTTCTGAGGGACTAAGCCTCGGTTGTTGCCCAGTGACAATTTTAAAGTAAGTTTTGGTTTAAAACTGAAAGCTAAAATCTGGGGGCAATAATGTTTTACTTGTTATTTGCCAAGTGTTCTTCAGCTGCAGAAATTTCCATAGGTGGCCCTGTGATTTAATTTACAGCTCCTATCTTTATTTGTGTAACTGCGTTCTTGTCATAAACTTGGCCAAGTATTTTGTTTGTTTTTGCAAAATGTTCTATGTTCTACTAAGGTCATACTAGATCTGAGGTTTAGTGTTTTGTTGTTGGCTTTTGTTTTTTTCGGTGGATGTGGTTAGGTAAGTTGGGTATTGCATTCTAAACTGCAACCAAAAAGGAAAGAATAAAACCAGGCCTGGGTACAAGAAGGTCTACAGGCTTGAGATGTTTGAGGTTGAGGATTTGGGAAATAAATTGGAAATTAAAAGGGTGAAGATTTTGATGTACAGTAAAATACTGGATTTTTACGCTAGTTTTCCCTGAAGCTTTAAAACATTTTATTTCCCTCACTTCCCCATTTATTTGAAAGGTAAAGATTCAGGTAGATCTCATACCTGAACTCCCTAACTGCCTGCAAGTGTGCAGCTGCTGTTGCCTCGGAGCCAGGAGCCAGGGTGGTAGCTCAGGTCTGCTCTGGGTGCAGGCATTCCATTGGAGCCATCCTCACTGTCTCCTGGGTCTGCGTAGAAGGAAATGGAATTGGTACTTGAACCAGGTATTCGAGGCAGATGCTTAGAGGTGAGATGCAGGCGATATAACCAGTGTCTTCTCCACTGTTGGGTCAAGTGTTTATTCCAGAAGTTGAGTATAAACACTGGATAAATATATGCCTTCTGCTTCATGGATACATTCATCTTCTTAAAAGGGCAAGTGTTGTCCTGGTGATCCTGGGGTGATTTCCATGTGCTGTGTGTGTTTTTACCTTTGCTCCACCACCACAGCCATGGACGTATGCACATGTGCACGCATCACACCTGTCATATTTTTTGTTTTCTATCTCGTTTCTCACCTGGGGAAAAGGTATCTCCAAGCCAAGTTCTACATAAAGTGAGAATCATTTTTATTTTAACGTAGCAAAAATACATATGTAGTAAACTTAAGCTTGTATATTTCATTTGGACATAGATAATTTCTTAATTTTTATTTGCCTGAAACATCTGAGACTCTAACATTTGTTGAAGTTATTATTGGCGAAAGAGATAAGCCCTGCGCTGCTGCAGCCTAGCCTTGGAAAACCAGGCTGATTCTGAACCTTCACAGTCATTTCTGTAGATGTTTGCTGAGGTGAAGTATTCACTTTAGTATTTAACGCTCAGGTTAAGTTTTTCAGTATGTTGTATCATTGACACTGGACTATCAAAAGTAAAATGACATCTTGAGATTTTTAATAAATCAATGTTTCTATATTTTATGTGGAAGAATATAATATTAAATTGATTCACATGCTCATGTATTTACTCGTTGAATTGACAGGCTGTTAGGTGCCAGGTAGGCCAGTTTCTGTGTAGTACCTCTTAATGGTTGAAAAAAAATAATAGTTAGCTTTCATTTAGAGCTTTTGCTGTATGAAGAAGGGTAGTTCAGTCACCATAAGCAGTAGATGTTTATTTTCAAATTAGGAGCCTGAGGCACAGAATTTTTAGATGAGTGCCAGTGGAAGTGTAGCCGCTGACGGGGAAGGAAGCCTTTCCTGTCATGGGAGTTGTACCACGTGCTGTTCTCGGTTGCAATCTGAGATAAAAGAAGCTTAACAAGAATATTTTCTCAGATTAATTTAATGTATATTCCTCTTAAGTACTTGTAGATTTCCAATTATCTTTGTGTTTTCCTACATCTAACATGTATTTTAATTCTGTGTCTTGTGTTGTTTATATGTTGACTTGTTTTTAAAGTGTCTTCGTTGCATGGCTCTAATTTAGAACAAGAGGGTGTGATTTACACCACTGGGACCGACTTCTGGGATAATCTGGCATTTGGGAACTTTCAGAAGATTTGAATAGGTGGCTCTGTGCAGTCATTTCTTTTCTGCACCCTCAAGATCAGTAGATATAATTGAGCTAATAGTCCTTTGTTTTAGGCCCTAAGGTAATGTTAGGTACTTTTATTAGAATTAGCAGGCAGTTGGATATCTTAGGTCTACTTGAAAGTAGAGACCTTGGTCATCAGACTGGCCTGATGTGATGGACAGGAGTGTAACTGGGAGCTCCATTTAAAAATAGAAGTTTATCATTTGAAATGTGCTTGGAGGATTTTGTATGTGCCACTTTCCAACATGAAGCTAACACATCTCGTGCCTAAACATGATATATTTTAAGGAAAATTTCGATGAAGGATTCTTACCCTACTGACCTTGGAAATCCAAGGTAATGAATATCTGCTTTGTCAGACAGTGAAGTACTTTGTACAAACTGGATGATGTGATGATTTTCAGCAGTTGTGTTAATGACAGATCTATAAAGAAAATGGCAAGCCAAACTTTTCTACAAGTAGTTAATGTGAATTATAAAACCTACACCAGATAATTTCTCTGCCTCTTTTTTAACCAATTATGACATCATTTTTGTTCCTGTTGAAACTTAGTCTGTTCTGTGTCAATATTATGATATATCTAATCTACAATAGAAGTGTCCTCCAAATTGCAAGTTTTCCTTTTGGAATCTAATATATCAAGCTCATTTTTAGCTGATTTAGATACATAAGGATTTTACAGTAGTTGGATATGAGCTCTCTGTAACCTTTCAGATATATTAATCAAAAAAAGCCAAACTTAATAATGCATCTAACT